TCGGCGAGTCTGCCAGTCTGGATGAAACCCTAATTTCAAGGGTTTGCACCCTATTTAAACGTTATTATGCGCCCCAAACCAGCCTCCATCACCCTCAGAACGTCCCTTACTAAACCCTAGCCTTCCTTTAAGCATTCTTGGGATATTTCTCATTTTGTGGAGGATTTTGGTGCGTTTTGAAGTTAGAAGAAGAAGGGAGAAGATGAGTTCTCAAGAGAAGCAAAGAAGATCTGAGTTTATTGTGTCATTCCAGCTTCCACTAAGGTATAAAGCTCGAATCTTGGCTTGTCATCATGTAGATCTCCTTAAAAGCTTGCTAGTGTGGTTTTTGAGCCTTTTCTAGACTTTGAGGTCGATTTTTGGGTAGTTAAGTCGAATGGGTTTCAGATCTAAGCATTTCAGGACTCCTTAAGCTCAAGGTTGCCACCTTTATTGAGCTAAGCACCCATTCCAAACCTAGATCTCCTCTTTTAACTCCTTTTTGGGCATTTTAGCTTATCTTGAGCATGCATGAACATAAAGTTAGAAACTTTACGTGTGAAATCAGTCCTAGGAACCCAAATTTATGAATTGGATGCATTGGAATCGAGAGAAATCGACTGTATAGTAATGGCATGCTTGGGACTCGGCAAGTTGTCCTTTAGACTCGACGAGTCGGGTCGCGAGTCCCCGATTTTTCCCCATTTGAGAGTTAAGGTGGAATCAGAGAGTAGGTAATGAACTCGGTGAGTTAAGGCTCAGATCTAGTAGTGGAGGGACTCGACGAGTTGTTCATACAACTCGGCGAGTCCAGGATTAATCTCATTCATAGGATGAAGGAGGTCTCGACGAGTTGTTCATACAACTCGGCGAGTCAGATGAAGATGAACTAGTTGTTAGTATCGAAGAAGAACTCGTCGAGCCTTTGCCAAACTCGACGAGTAAAAGCGGGTGGAGGTTTAGAAAGGATGATAGGGACTCGGCGAGTCCGGTAAACTGAAAGTTGACTTTGACCAGGAAGTTGACTTTGACCAGGATGTTGACTTTGTCCAGGGGTAAAATAGTCATTTTACCCTGAGAGTAGTTATCAGTATCTGATTTAGTGTTTATGGGATTTGTACCCGGGGAGTTCCGGAGCAGCAGTCAGACAGTTTCAGATTTAGCATCTCAGCAGCCAACATTACGAGGTGAGTTTCCTTCCAGTAGGAACGGGTCTACGGCCACAATGCCGACCCGTTTAGTTAGCAGTAGTTACGGACTTCGGTCCGATGCAGTAGTTCAGTGTGCTTGATGTCTTTGTGATTCAAGCATGTCTTGTGTTATGTGTTCCGGACTTCGGTCCGATGTAGTATGCAGTATATGTGTTTATGCTAGTAGTTATGATCATGCTATGCTATGTTCAGTCAGTTCCGGACTTCCGTCCGATGCAGAGGGCGAGGCCCTGGTTAGTTCCGGACTTCGGTCCGATGCAGAAGGCAAGGCCCTGGTTAGTTCCGGACTTCGGTCCGATGCAGTTTCCGGACTTCGGTCCGATGCAGAGGGCAAGACCCTGGTTAGTTCCGAACTTCGGTCCGATGCAGTTTCCGGACTTCGGTCTGATGCAGTGGGCAAGGCCCGGTAGTTGCTTTATATGTTATTGTATGGTATGTGGTAGTTTGGGGGAGCTCACTAAGCTTTATGCTTACAGTTTCAGTTTTTGGTTTCAGGTACTTCCGCTAGTAAGGGGAAGAGCTCGGGATGATGGCATCGCACACACCACAGCTTCAGTTTTATCCTGGGAGTTTTATTCAGATATTTTGATATGATTGATACAGTATTTGTTTTGACACAGTTACTTGACTTTTGAGTTACTCATTCTATGGTTCTTAGTACGTATGTCATTCGTTGATGTGATTTTTAGTAATATTAAAACAAAAATTTTTGAGTCGTATTTTGGGATGTTTCAGCGGCGCAAGTAATAAGTGGTGGCATTTCTTTGAAATATTTGACTAGTTTTTTGTCTCATTGGTCTCGTAACCAAAACAAATATTTCACTTCTTTGTTCAAAACGCTCCAATTGTGCGGACATCAACCATAATTCATTTAGTAACAACAGACTTGTAGGGTAATACACGCCCGATAAAAAAGTGGTTGATTGTTCAAAAACTTTTAACATATCTACAAACTCTTCCATCAAATCTCAATCATAATCCGAAACCGAGTTTTTCCTTTTGAAATTGTGTCGTAAAATAATTGCAAAGCGATTATTTGGCGTGTCAAACTTTCAAACATCATGCATGTTGAACTCCATCTAGTGTCAACATTCCAATGAGGACTATATTGAGTTACGTTAATTGAAATGGTAAATTTTCGATATTTTTCCATTGTAGCTTAATTTTTTCCAAAAATTCTAGTTAACACAGTTTTGAATTTTTCAATCGTCGAATCAATCATTTTTAAACCATCTTGTACGGCAAGATTAATAATGTGACAAACACATCTAGTATGAAAAAACGAGTAATCCAAAATAGGTTTATATTTTGCAATTAATCTTTTTGCGGCGGCGGTATTGTTACTTGCATTGTCAAACGAAATAGAGAAGATTTTGTCGCGTAAATTATAAGTCTCTATAACGCTTACTAAAATTGCAAATAATCGTGCCCCCGTGTGAGGATGCGCAAAAAGTTCAAAAGCAATAACTCGTTTGTTCATTACCAAAGTAGAGGGATCTATCCAATGTGCCGTGACGGCAAGACAGCTTTTGGGACAAGTTCCGGTAGAGGACCAAACATCACAAGTTAAAGAAACACCGGTTTTTATATTTAAAAATCCCAATTGCATATCTTTTTTGGCTATATCCCAATACTTTAAAGCATCACGTCTAAGAGAAGTGCAACTTACTTGCCGGTATTGTGGTTGCATTTTTTCCCGTAAAATCCTTGTTAATCGTGGGTTGTCGAAGTGGTTGAAAGGCAAGCCCTCTTGAATGACGAACTTGCAAAAGCTTTCATGAATGTCATCATTGTTGTAAATAAAGATCGAACCGTTGGGAGTAATATTTGGTTGATCCGGATCGCCTTGACCTTTTACAATCGGACACGTTTTTGTTGTATGACTCCTCAACGTACTATTGCCATCTTTTCCCAAAAACATCCCGTTTTGCTTGCACCTTGCTTTTTCTTTCCCGTTCGACAACAAACACAAATCATAATGTTCTCACACATCTTTACTCCGAGTGGTTGGTAAGATTTTAACCACCGTTGCATCCGACTCTTGACCCGCGGTAGAATTTCGGGAGCTCATTTTTTGGAAGATTATGAAAATAGAAGTATAAAGTAGTAGAAATTTGTGTAAAATGGAAATGGAGCAAATAGCTTGTATTTATATGTGTTTAGAAGGGCCAAAAATTCAAGAAAAGTCAAACTAGCTGTTTTTTTTTTGTTTCCAACGGCTATAAGGAAAAAAAATTCAAAAATTCCCGTTTTTTAACGGTAAAAAAAAAACCCGGTTCGGATCCGGTTTTGGATCCGGTTTGGTCCGAATCTGGTTTGCGATCCGGGGTATAATCCGATATGGAGTCCAAAGCGAGGATCCGGTTTGGATCCGGTCACCGGATTAATCCGATCCAGTTCGGTCAAATCCGGTTTTGACTAAATCCGGTTTTCGGATCAGATCGGATCCTAGACCCGAATCCGGTTTTTGTGCCCATCTCTATCAGCGAGTTGGGTCAACATGGACTGTTGACCTTGACCGATTGACTTTTGTCTTTGACCAAGTTTGTCCTCAGGGGTGCTTGAAGTAATCTGAATTGTAACTAAGGAAATTATGGGCTTAGGATAAGGCCCATATGTGGTTGGGCCTAATTTGGAAAATTAGGCCATTAGTGGGCCTTTGTGGATCTTTGGTTTTGGGCCTCAGGTTTGGTTCATGTTGTGTCCAGGGTAAAATGGTCATGACCTGCGATTTACTAACCGTCCAAGCTTCCACAATTTAAAATTTTGGTTCATGTTGTGTTAGGGGTAACATGGCCTCAGGTTAGGCTCAAACTTTTTAAAACTCACTAGTGTACCACAATTTAAAATTTTGGATCTTTTGGCTTGGTGGAGAGAAAAAGAAACACAATTTCCTATGCTCTTAGTCATGACCTGCGATTTACTAACCGTCCAAGCTTCCACGGTATCTTCGAAGGCAGGATTTTGTCAAGGTTGAGAGCGAATCTTACCTCGTTGGCAGTGGAGGTTTGCGTTTGTTTGAAGGATTACTTGGATTCGGAGGAATGTATACAACATTCAGCGTCACTCGAAGTCCCCCTAGAAGACAATGTCGAGCTGGGGATAATGGAACAAGAATAGGAACAAGTTATAGTAACGACTCCAGAACCTTCTTTTGAAATCGACAACGATGAAGATGAAGACGAAGACGAAGATGAAGACGAGGGTAATGAGACCCCTATCTATTTGCATGATGGTTGAATAACAATAAAATGAAGGCGAACCCAAAGTAGAAAACCAAAAATTAAAGACTATTTGGCAAAATGTTATAACATTGTTTTATTATTATTAGTTTATTAGTTTAATATTAGCATCAAAACTCTTTCCATTTCGACGATTTGACGTCCGTTTTAAGTATTCTAATGAATCTCTATTGCATTTTATGTTATATTTAAACGTTTAAAAAATATATTTTTTTAAATAATAATAATAATAATAACCAAAATCCGGATCGAAAAAACCGATTTGGATCTTGCAATGGGAAAACCGGTTCGGATTTAGGACGCCGGATTGTCGTTGACGTAACCGAAACCAGATCAGATCGGATTTGGAATCGGGTTTTATGCAAAAGTCCAAAGCCCAATACTGACCAATTGTTTAGGGGCACATCTTGTAATTTAATCATTCTTTGGTTTATCCTAGGGTTCATAATTGCCCAATTCGTTTGAGCCTAATTTCGCTACTGTCCTTGTTCGTGCTCTCCCTCTTCGACGAGGAGATTTCCAAATCTCTCTCTTCAAGAACTCTAGATTGCGACTTGTTTTTAGCAAGATGTCGGACAAACGAAACATTCAAGACCAGAAACGCAGATTGCTCGGTGAGAAGTACGAATTGAGGAGAAAGCTCTACAAAGCGTTCTCTAAAGATACTGATCTTCCTAATGATGTGCGGGAGAAACATCGTTGTAAGTTGGCTGATTTGCCGAGAAATAGTTCATTTACTCGAGTAACAAATCGGTGTGTTTTCACTGGTCGTGCTCGTTCCGTTTATCAGATGTTTCGAGTTTCTCGTATCGTTGTTTCGTGATTTAGCTTCTCGAGGTCTTTTGCATGGTGTTAAGAAAGCGTCTTGGTAGTATCATCAAGTCAATTCGAGAATAAGGTTAGCTTTCCCTGATCTGTTTGAAGAATCTCGATATTTTGATCGATGATTGTTGTTGCATACTTGGATTAGCTACCTCTTTGCTTCCTTTAACTTTTTTCACTTATGAGTTCACGAGAATTTTAGATGTTCACGAGAATTTTAGATGTGATATAGTTAAGATTCAATTATTTACTGATTTTGTTGAATAGCAAAGAATGTATGTAAAATCTTGAATATAACAAATAGAGGAAACCTTACCAATTTTTATATATTATAACTTCTCATTCTATATTTCTATAGAATTAATAGACATGAAGTAGCTCAATAACCCTCCATCAATACTAAATGCTGACTAAGTAGAGGGAGCTTCATGGAAGATGGAATTTATTTTCCACCAACCCAAAAGATCAAATATGTTATCATTTTTCTTCTTTCTGTTGGCCAAATAAGTTTCATTCTTGCTCAAACATTCTTATACTTTATCATCATAATTGTTGATTTCACACTCCAAATTGAATTTTATGCAGCTAAAACTACTAGCCATACACCTAGAAAAGAACCATCTTGTGTTTTGTGTGCTTGTTTTCTCTGTATTCTTGTAGTGGTTCAACAAATCGTTTAAAATTTTATTCACCATTCCTAAAATCTCTTTGGTTTTGTCTGTGTCCTTACCATAAATCATTTATATAGAGAAGGCGTCTTAATGAAATTTGTTGCGTGGATCCAAAGCAACGGCAACATACAATAGATGGTTCATTTTTTTTCTCTTGTCCTAATATATGTCATACTTTGCCTTTATTGACTTTTCCATTTTCTCTTTTTGCTCATCAAGTCCTAAGCACGTTTGTGTGATCGTTGCGTGCGTTGTCATAGGCTAAAAAAAGACCAAATTTGATGTTACATACTTGGAATCATAAATCTTGGTTGTAAAATCATAAAAAATTTGAAAATACTTGATAAAAATTCCCATTTTAAAGAAAAATAATCATATGATAGTGTATAAAAGATAAAAACAAAGTATAAACTATATAAATTAGAAAAGTATAACATACATGGCTTTCTTTTAATCGGTTGCACTGGTAGCACCAATTACTCTATTTCTTTTTTGTTTCCTTGTGCTCCCTTAACAATCGTCTTTGACATCACCGCGAATATAACTTTTATAATTAGAATCTATCATGAAAAGCTCATTGACAAAACAAAACAAAACAAGTATAAGATATTAATACTAGATAAGAAAAAAACAACGTAATATATATGAAAATAAACAACATACCTTTGAAACTCATTTATATATTCAACAAGTATTTCCAACATTAAAAATGTGGAATTTTACCAGTTTCGACATCAAGCCATGGTTTTTGTCTACACCTAATTTCCATCCGCCTAACAATATTTTGAAATCTTGCATACGTAGCAAGTGATGATTGCATGTACCTTAAAACTATTCAAATTTTAGAAATAGAACCACTGCTCTTCTAATCTATCTATGACCACAAGATTGATAATATGTATGCAACATCGTAAGTACAAATATTTACAATCCCAACATCAATATGTCCTTTTAGCATCATCTTAAGAAATCTGATATCTCATCATTAGAAGAAGTGTTATCAATCGTGTTAGTAAATGCCTTTTAAACACCCATTTTTGTAAGCATGTGTATACAAGTTTCATACAAATTATTAGCTATCGATAATAGTTCAGAATCTTGTTTTGTTATACCTAATCATCATCAATCCAATGTGTAGTAAGACATAATTAAAATTCTGAATTTAAGACCAAGTGTAAGTGGCAAGATACATTGTTTGGCCTTTTAACAACTTCTTGAGTATTTTGGTCTCTTCTCTATAAATGGATATACATTGTTAAGCAAAGTCCATTAAGATGGAAACTTAAACAACGGATTCAAATCTCATACAAGTTCTCTGAAACCCTTGTCTATCAACCACAATAAAAGGCTCATTGTCTTTTATGCACATTCTGGATGGGGATTGTCTACATTTATAGAGAAGAGGTAAAAAAATTTATTAGAAGGAAAAATTGTGATGTCTTACCATTGACACATAGTCTTCAGTTCAAAATTTTAATTATATGTATTGTATGGTATAATGGATTGAGGGTATTACAAAAGAAGATTCTTAATTTTTGTCCGGTAGCCGATCCCATGGGTGAAATAATTTGGAAACTTGTGTACACTTGCTTACAAAAATGAGATATTAAGAAGGTGTTTGCTATCACCATTGATAACGTTTCTCCTAATGACGAGGCTATCGGATTTTTTAATGATGCTAATGATGGTTTGTATTGTAAATGTGTGTACTTGCGATGTTGTGTAGATATGATCAATCTTGTGGTTAGAGATGAATTTGAAGAGCAAGTGTTTATGTAAAGATTTCAAGACAATGTTGAGTCGATGGAAATAAAGTGGAAACAATAACCATGTCTTGATGTTGAAACTAGATGAAATTTCATTTTTTTTTAATGTTGGTTATAGCTATAAATATGAAAATGTGTTTCATATGTATGCTTATTTCATATATTTGTGGGGACTTTTAAGACGATTTTGAAGGGTGCATATGGAAACAAGAAAAGTAGAGTAATTGGTGTTTCGACTTAAGCGGATTGAGAGGAAGCCAAGTATTTTATACTTTATAAATTTATGCATATACTTCGTTTGTCTTTTACATACTATGTTATGTTTTAGTTTGTCTTTAAAATAAGATTTTTATCAAGTGTTTGTAATATTTTTCTAATGTTACAACCAAGATTTATTGTTTCAAGTATGTAAACATCGAATATTTTTTTTCCTGAGCTTGTGACAATGCAACCATCGAACGAATGTGCTCTAGTCTCAATGAAAGAAAAAGTTCTAGAACAAAAACTATGACAAATATTGGGACAATATAGAAAACATGAATTTCCTGTTGTTTGTTGTTGCTTTGAATCAACACAACAAGATTTCCCCACCTCATGTTCTGTATACAAATGATTTATGGCAAGGACAGTAGGACACCGAGAAAACAATAGAGTTTTAGAAGATTTGTTCAACCACTACAAGGAAAAAGCGTAGAAAAAAAACGTGCAAGACAAACGATTGTTACTTTTCTAAGCATTATGGTTTTTCTTATTTCGTTAGACATTCATGGTTATGTTGTGGTTTGTACTTTGATGACTGTTTAGTGTTTTTAACCTTAGATTATGGTTGAATGTTTTTTTGCGGTTTATTTTGCATTTTGCAAGTATATTCTTAATTCCATATATCGTGGTTTGTATTTTGGTTAGGTTTGGTATATTAATGGATTGAGGGGTTTGTTTTAATTACATTATAGAACAGCCTTCAGGGCATTTTTTGGTTTTATCTTCTCAAAATGATATACTTTGTTGCCCTCTTACTCAAAGGGGACCTCGCCCCTTGTGGTATTGTCATCTCCTCGAATGATATTATCATTCAGCCAAATCATCAACCAATGAATCCAACCTTCAACAAGATGAGAAAAGTAGAGAGAGACTGCATCAATGTCTGCTAAGCTAGAAAACTCCCAATTGCGAAATACTTGTAATAGGTTGAAGAAACTGATATTTTGCTAAATGTTCTTATATTACGAATTATGGAGTTCAAAAATATGACTAAACTAGAGTCATTCATTATTACATTAACCAAACATGTACTTGTGTTGATGTCGTTTCTCCTTTGTGAAGAAGCTTACACGGGCGAGAGTCATGAGAATTTCGTGAAAGGTTTGCGAAAGTTGGGTCATTTCCAAGAGCTCACGTCCTCTAATTGAATCATAGATAATGAAATCATCAAAGATTTGACATTTCTGAACTCTGGACTATAACTCACTGAGTTCATTAATGGAGACCTTACCATTTTGGTTAGTTTCCTAAATAGCCGTATATCACATAAATAACTAAATAAGCAATTATTTAAACCCATGGTTAAGCTCTCTTAACATTCTACAAGCACAAAAATGATCCCGGTCGCACAACGGCTATTTCAAAAGCAAGATTTGAAATTTTATCCCAATTCGGTCTCACCTCTTTAGTCTTTATTTTATAGTCAAATCTTTAGTTTTCTAAGCCCTAAAAATTTGTGCAGTTAACTTGAAATCGAGCATTGAATATCGCAAAGAGCCTCATAAAGCATTACAACTTTATCCATTCATCTCAAGAATTGGACAAAACATAACCACACACAAGTTAGTCCTATATGATCTTGTGCTTTTGGTTGTATATGGTCACCATGATTTGTTTCTTTTTATGTTTAAAATGTTATTGTTTTCACTTAAAAAGGTTCACGTTGTGATTGTGATGTTACAATGGATACCTCACAAACATGATTTTATGAGCAAATTTTAAGACCAGTTCATTTTGGTAAGATCTTTCAATTCAGATTCAGATTGTATCTTACAAAACATAAAAACAATTATTAACATGCGATTCACAAAAGAAGTTAAATATCCTTCTACTTTTTGTTCCTACAAATCCTCCTACCCAATTAAATGATGACATATGTAACATTTAATGATATTTTAGTATATTAATATGACGCATGTCATTATTTAATTGGGTAGAATGATTTATATGAACAAAAGTAAAGAAGATATTTAATCTCTCTTCACAAAACTAACCAAAATTAGAGGATATTCATGGAGACGCTCCCATTCATAAACCTTTTATACATAGATTTGGAAAACATATTTATTAAAATAAAAGTTGATTTAAGAATATAATTTGAAATACTAATCACTCCGGCATAATTTAATAGGATAGTAAACAACAAAAAGCAAGGTACAAGTACCAATGCACATTTTGCACTTCATAACTTGTACTCATCTACGTGTAATTAATTAGAGACGTGCATTGTGGATTGATTATAGGAAACAGAAATAAAAAATGAATTTTTTGTATCCATTTTCGTTTTCGTGACACTAAAATAATATTTAAGTGAAGATAAAATTGTTGGGTTTTGGGTGACTAAAACAAGAAATCAGAATCTGATAATTCGAGTACTTTGTGAATCCCAATTGGATTCACACCTGGTCGGAATGCATTCCCTTCGATATATCTGCAAAAGTATGCAAAACATTAATAAAAAAAAAAATACATTTCTTAAAATACGCAAAATCAAGAATGTATGTATGTAAGGTAAGGCTCACAGTTCTTTGAGATAAGGGTGCTTGTAGAAAGCATCTGGAATCCTCCCACTCAATTGGTTGTGATCCAGGTACCTAACAACAAAACACTCCCCCACTTAGATGTGAAATAGAGACAAGATTTTATATTATTCCTACTAATATTTACTATTATTTAGTAATAATGCTTACAAGTAAGTTAGCTTGGGAATATGAGCAAGTCCAGCTGGCACAATCCCCGACATCTTGTTGTAAGATAAATACCTAAAAATCATTGCAATTATCATAAGATTCCAAGAATTTCACTACAATGTTATAATTTTAAAATTTCTAATTCGATAAAAATACTACTCCTACTTACAAAATTTCCAGATTAGTCAAGTTGGCAAGCTGTGCTGGAATTCCTCCGGTCAGATAGTTATTATTAAGATAACTGCAAAATTCCAAAAAACTAAATAAAACCTTGAAAACAATATTTAAATGATATAAAAAAAAAAAAAGTAAATAAAGTCTTTATAACATACAGATTCCGAAGAACCGGAAAACATCCTTCTATACGTATCAGCTCCCTTATAGTTCCAACCAAGTGATTGTTACCAACATCTCTACAAAAAATAAATTACATTTTACACCATGATTTAATTTAATTAGTTAAATGATTTTAATTAATATAAGGGGGTTGAAGTGTACAGGTGGCGAAGATTTCGTAAGGTGCCCAATTCTGCTGGGATTCGACCAATGAAGCGATTTTCATGAAGATGAAGATATTGTAAATCCGGAAGATTAGCAAGCTCCCTTGGGATTTCACCTTTAAAGCTATTGAAACTCAAGTACCTGAAGGAGTATAATTAATTACTAATTTGATTAGTGGTGTTTTATTTTATATATATTGATAATGGAGTTTAAACGAAGAGTGTGAATGAATACTCACAGATGTGTTAGTTTCTTTAGTTCGCCTATTTCAGGAGGAATCACATCCTGCAACTTGTTCCACCTCAAATTACTGGAAAAAGATTGACACACATCAACAAAAATGTTGAAAATGATATTATGATTTATGAATCAAGTAAAGGATCATAATTCATACAGAACTTTAAGACGCTTCAAACGCCCAATTTGAGGTGGAATTGGACCAGTCAACTTATTGTTGTGGAGATCCCTGTAGAAAAGTCAAAACAAAAGTCAACACCAACACCAACACCAACACCCTTGACTACATGATAGTAGTAGAAAAGAGAGTCTTACAGTCTTGTAAGATCCAAAAGATTGGTTACAGCAGTAGGGAAAGGTCCAATGATTGACACTGCATATACTTCCCTGAAATTAAACAGTTGAATCCAATGTCAGACAATTACTGATGAGTTGCATAGATTTGTAAGTTTTTTAGTAATATGTGAATACAAGCAACAGTGAAGTTATACTTACAGTTCAGTAACTACTCTATAATCACCTTGTGTGGAGCAGGTGACTCCAGACCAGGCTGGTAAATCACCATCTCCACATGGATCATCTCCAACCCATGCATACACCACCCTCCATCCAAGAGATGCTTTAATTTCATTCAGGGCTTTCACTACATTAAACAAGAAATCACTATTAATTCACTCCAAGCAGATCAATCCTATACTTCTGTTTCCAAATCAATTCTATGAGTAGTACCAAAATACATCAAAAAATGGGGAAAGATTCACGGATTTGATCAAAACTCCTTGACCTAAGGCAAACAAAAAGCACATACATGTCTCTCATTCTCTCTTGAGGACTGTCATCTTGTCTTTGAATTTATGTTTCCAACTTCAATTCCATGGCTAATTTAGTGATACTAGAATAGCAGACAAACAAATTGAACTATGATTCCTACTCAAATCATTAGATTACATGCTAGTAAACGCGCATATATAAACATGAACTTATTCTGGCAGCTGCTCAACCGCATAACTAAACTAAGACATATAACTATTTAAGGTTTAACAAAATATCAAACAGATTCACATTAAGTAAACGTTGAGTCGATGACAATAAGATGAAGAAGCTACCCCCAATTTCAACTCTAAATCATGGGATCTAAGATCAATTGAAGTAGTTAGGGTAAACATCCCTCTGAATTACAAGATAAACAACTGTATATGTATATCGCATCTTCGTACACTAGGATACATAGAACACATAACATAATCACGCATTCATAATGAAAATTCTAAATATAAGCGAGGCATTACCGTCTCTTTTTAGCGTTTTGCAGTCAACAGCGACATTGAAAAGGAAAGGAAGCAAGATAATCAAAGAAGCTGCTGCATGTACACGAAAACACACCATTTTCACTCGAATCAATTGCGATCCCCTTTTGTTTTCAGAGTTTCAAACTCTCATTAGTTTGTAATATGTGTATACATAAGAATGAGATGCGGATCGAGAACAGATTAAATCAGAGTAGGATCTCAGTGGAGATGCAGAGGGAGTGATAGAGATTTTCAGCAGAAAGACGACGCGGAGGTTGGGCCTGCTATCGTCGGTGGATCTCGAACTCCGTATTGTCTTTGTTTGTTTTTATTTTTTCATTTGATGCCCTTCCGCTATAACTAAATCACAATGACACCCCTCATACTTTTTCTTATTACAAATAAATTCTTTCAAAATTTCAAATAATTTTTTATTAAAAGCTCAAAATATTAGGAAAAATAAAATAATTTTTTATTTAGTTTATCCGTGACAAACACAATGTCAAACACACTAAAGGAATCACTTTCACCAATTATATAAAGTTATCTATTAAACAAAACTTCATACAATTGAATTCTTTCAAAATATTAAAGAAATGACTTTTATTATAAAGCTATTATATTAAAATTTAAGTACTTATATAGTGCTCGATGAAAATTATCGATTAAATACTTTGAAGTGTGAACTATGCAAACTAAATTCTTTTAATAAACTTTGGTACAATGATAAAAAATGAGAGAAATAAGATTGATTCAATATATATATATATATATATATATATATATATATATATATAATTTTGTTTTTTACATCTATTGTGTGTCCGTAAGCACAATTCTGGACCAATGGATGAATAAAATCAATGGTCATGATTTGAGGGTCTACGATATTACAATAGGGTAACATGTACCATATAATTACACAAATTTCAGCAGAATGGTGTTTTGGTCAATTAACCTATATTAAAAAAGGAAATTTTCGGATTTTAAAGGATAATTAATTTCCTTTTTTTTTAAATCTGGATTTTTTAAATTAATTCAAATTTAATTCTATTATAATATCTAATACTAACCGATTTTATTCTGTCAGAATGACAGAGAGTCAAACATAAACTAGTAAATATATTTTCGATTTTATTCTTTCAGAATATGGTTCATTCAATATATTTTTTATAATTAACATGCTTAAATAATTATACAACATATTATCAAGAATAACATTTTCTAAAGAATACAGATTTTATTTTTTAAGAATCATTAATTACATTAATTCGTAAAGAATAAGACTAAACAATTATTACATTCTGAAAATAAATGATTAATAATGGTTTAAGAATTACATTTATTCTTAAAGATTAAAACTAAGAATGGTTAAAAAAATAAAAAATAAAAACATCAAAATCTAACAAAAACACTAATCCATTCTAAAAGAATATATTGTTAAGAAACATTTTATACATTCTAGCAGAATACATTCTGCTAGAATACTCTTGTTCTCCATGTTTTCTTCTTTTTCCACATCAATGGCAGCCTCTTCAAAATCTATATCCACAAAAGAAAATATAATCAACTTTAAAATGTTAAAACTTTTAATATATTCTAAAAGAATAAAACTATAAATTCTAATAGAATGTGTTAGACATTAAAGACTTTTAATTTATTCTAACATTTTGTTTATTCTAACAGAATGTTTTCTTCTTGTCACCCATGTTTAGTGTATCTATGTCAAAACAGACAACTCAGTGTTGCAAGCGTATACACCTCTGGTGCATAAAAATGAAGATAGAACATAAATCAAAAGAAACCTGGAGGGAAATTTCATCATTGTCCTACAAAATTCTCTAAATTATTCCAACTAAACTGAATTAGGTCAGAATTACGCAAACTAATCCTTCCTTGAAGCGAGTTTAATGTTATTCAATAACTCTTACGAGTCACAAGTTAATAATCAAGCAAGCGACTTTAGCAAGAGAAACATAAAAAGGTACCATCACAATCGAAGATGAAAGTCTCGACCGAGTCAATTAAGGCATAGGCATTTTCCAGAGGCTGTGCAGCGACGGAGGCGGCGGCGGCGCAGGTGACATCCAGTTTCGTCTTCCTATCCATTCTGTAAGAGTAATTACTCCATCTGATTGTGGTGCTGATCTTCTTGTCACGGTGTTCGTTGATCAAGGAAGAACTGAATGACGACGGGATCAAAACTGAAGAAATGCGCTTGAAATTAGAGAAAAATCTTTGAGGAAGGAGGAGGACGTCGACAATGGTTTTTGTAGGGTTTAAAAAACTGATTGCAATTTTATAGGGATTTGATTTGATTTTAATTTTGGAATTAATTTAATATACATGCAATATTACTAATTTACCTTTATTGATTTATTTAAAAATTTAATTTGTGCTAAATTCTGATTGGTCCATATATGTACACAATACTTGTTGAAAACATTTGAACCTAACTCTATCTATCTCTCTCTCTCTCTCTCTCTCTATATATATATATATATATATATATATAATATATATATATATATATAATATATATATATATATATATATATATATATATGACTGCAATGAGTCATTTAACCGCCCACTTCATTTTCAGTCGTTGGATCATACCTGAAAGTAAACCTCAGTCGTTATAATTCACTACTTTTTAGTTATGTCACTTTTGGTTAGCCTTCGAATAACTTTTTCCGCAAGTTCAATCAGCTGCAGAAAGCGCCCCCTCCCACGATCTCTACATTCATCTCCCTCATCCATGATCTTTGCCTCATCGTCTTCAACCCCATACAATCTTCCTATAAATCTCCATTTGGGTTCATCGATTCCTTTAAATTTCTCATCCAGATCGATTAGCTTTTCAAATCTCTACTTATTTTTTTTTGTTGATTCATGGTTTTTGTTTCTTTACACATAATGAGGATTTGAGTTTTGTGCTAAGGTTTATTTCCCACATCATTCTCCTAGGTTCATGTATAAATAGACTCCCCTCCTTATCATTGGAGTGTTAATTCATGTTCACATTTAAGGCTTTTGAAAAAATTACCTAAAAGAATAAGCTTTTGAAGTTTAATGTTTTATTTCATATTGTTGCATATGTAGACCATCCACGATCCACATACTACCCAAAATAATAAGCTTTTGCTTTTGCTACATATTAAATTGAGTTTTTCAATAAAATACTATATATGGAAGTCAGATATAAGAAAATGACATCATTTCAATAATTATTACAAAACGACCATCTAATTTTCTACTGATTCGGAATGCTTTTTTTGGCAAACGACCAATAATTATTACAAAACGACCATCTAATTTTCTATATATGGAAGTCACATATAAGAAAATGACATCATTTCAATATATATATATATATATATATATATATATATATATATATATATAGAGAGAGAGAGAGAGAGAGAGAGCTAGGTTCAAATGTAGATTAACATCTATTGTGCGGACGTGTGGACATTGCTATTCTATAAGAATGACAAAGAAAATATGTTGTTTGATAATATGAATACGTTTAATCTTACATAACTATTGTCATTATCACACATTCTCACTAATTAAATCGTCTATAAGATTATTATACACTTTTTATTATTATTCTCATTATGTCAGAATGTTGTCAGGATGTTTATTGAGTCGTATTGTGTAAGAATGAAAATGAGTGAAAAACGATGTTGAGTACAAAAATGAATAAGAATTATTGAGAATTGATTAAAATGACGATATTTATGTGAGGTTGAACGTATTCACATTAATAAACAATTTATTTTCTTAGTTATTCTCATAGAAAAGCACTGTCCGCACAATAGTTGTCCATCCACATTATAATCTAGCCCTATATATATATATATATATATATATATATATATATATATATATATATATATATATATAGGTAGGTAGGTTCAAATGTGGATCCACATCTATTGTGTGGATGTAGGGATCATTCTACACCAAGCAATTCAAAAACATTGATAAGAGTATATTAGTAATTCTTTTTTTCATTTATGGTAAATTGTTAAATTAATTAATAACCTTTAAATAGAAAATCATTTTTAATTCAGACCTAATCTATCTTCATCGGCCAACCACTAGAAATGATCAACAATCATCTTCATCTTCATCCTATAATCATGGTTCTTTAAAAAAGGAAACTGCTATTCGTTCACTCACTCAATAAAAAAGCACAAATTCATACAAATAAAACCTCAATATCAAGAATTAATTAAAATCCCATTCTTTCAGAATATAGCGGCATGAATCAACATTCTTTAAGATTTTCCTTCCAACAGAAATTCAATTCTTACAGAATTCTAAATCCACGTTTCACATTAACTACATTCTTTAAGAATAATAAAAAATACGAACATCGTATGAACTTGAATGCCCTTATTCTATTGTTTTAAGAATACTATGTTCTTCATACAATACCCTTCATTAAAGCCTTCTTGTGCTTGTTGTATATGTTGGATTAGTGTCTAAGTCCATAACTATTTTAGTATGTACTTGACCCGATGGTGCATGGTCCTTTTGGGTTGCCTTCACCATAGCAACTTGACAGGGTGATTTGTGAAGAGAGAAGAGATATTATTATATTAATATATTATGAGAATAATATATTAAAGGAATAATAATATTATTTGATTAATATTAGTCATAAATTAATTAGGAATTAATTTGGTGACTAAGAGAGGTTAATTGAATAAAGGGGCTTAAACTGTCAAATGTGTGATAGTTGAGTTTTTGGGCTATGAATCCTTATGGGATATAGGGTGGCCGAGTTTAAGGAGTACGGGCTCCTTGAATTCGTCCAAGCCTTACTCTAGAAGGATCTTTGGATTGCTTAGGTCCTAAGTTATTCAATTAGGGTTAAGGATGTAACCCTAGTAACTCATAGTATAAATAGACCCCATAGGTGAGGGAAATCGACTACCTGGTTGCATTGGAAACCCTAGAGCCGATTTTCTCATCCCTCCTCTCTCTCCAAATCATCCTCTTGCTAGTTGGTGTTTGTAAGCTATTAGAGGAGTGACAATTGTGACTCTAAGCTCCAAGAACAAGAAGATTCAAGCAAGCAACTTAAGGTATTATTCTAGATCTGATTTCATATGTTATGATTCAATTGTTTACTCTAGATCTTGCATCATAAGCCTTGGAAACATTGCATGTTCAATTAGAGAAATCTAGATCCAAGCATTAGGGTTTGCATGTGCACATAGGAAAGTTCTTATGGCTCAAACCCATCAGTGGTATCAGAGCTTAGATTGATTTCTATTGAATTGATGCATTGTTTGATTGTTCTTGCCATGAAAAATCATTTTTATGCCCCTGACTGACAGACTCGGCGAGTCCCATTGTGGACTCGGCGAGTAGCATGAACTCGACGAGTCCATAATGGGACTCGGCGAGTCCGGGCGTCAGTCTGAGTTGATTTCGGGATTTCTTGCTGTTTTGCTTGAGGATACTTGCCTTAATTGTTTTGGGTCATTAAAATCTGAATTTTATCATATAATTGAATATATCCTTAACAAAACAAAAGATAATTACCATTTGATTGAATAATAATTTCCTTATATGATAATAATTGATTATTTGAATTAATTGGTAAATTGTCTTGCAAGTAATATTGACTAGGTCAAATTTAGATAATCATTAAATTAATTAGTTGATTTATATTATTTGCTATTTGATCCTTTATGTTTTGAAAAAGTTCAAAACTTGTCCTCAAGTTTTGAAATTTAAGTTTTGTGATTAAAAGTTTAATTTGATATATTTAAATTTCAAACCTTAGAATTTTACAAGTTTTAAAATTCACCCTTATACTTATAATATTATAAGATTAATAAATATATATGTATAACTTAAATGCTAGTCTTACCGTTAGTAGGCCTCATTCACGAAGCCGATCTATAAGGGGGGTATAAGGTTATGGCCTATAAAATGGCCGTTTAATGGGTGTCCATTCTCACCCACCGCTTCCTTGATTGGTGGAGGGTCGTTAGCCGAAGGGTAGGATAGGGCAAACCTTTCCTCATTAAAAGTATAATGATTCTATATAAAGTAACTAAATGCTTTTACAAAATTCCCAATCTTAGTTACTTTAGGCAAAAGTGAATTTGATGCAATTCCATGAAATTACACTTTGTACCCTTGCAAAGACGTTAGTGGAGCGTGTGTGGTTAACCGGCACACTAATTGGTTCTAAGCAAAGGTGGCAAAGGGTGACTCAATGTTTGTCATAGTTCGGTGGAGCGTGTGTGGTTAACCGGCACATCGAATAGGTGACTGTAACATTGGGGGCACCATGTAAGTTTGCATGGTTATTCACACCATGTTTTGTGATCCTCGACATCCCAGTCACAAATCGAGGGGCATATCGAGATTTAAACATGCCATTGAAAAGTTCAATGAATCTCAAAGGATCTAGGAGTTTTTCAATACATTTAAAACCTAATCTCTTTTTCGTTTTTCATGGTGGAAAATTAGTGAATCGTCATTCACTTACCTTCAAATGTTCTGTAATTTGGGTTACAACATCCCTCTCCCAAGTTGTAGAGTATTGTGTTGGGTCCTAGCCTTAATATATCATTTTGGGTGATTTATTAAGGACTAAATCAACTGACTTGATTTTTCTCCCGTTTTGTAGATGTCCGAATCTAACCGTGGTCTTCCCAAATCCCATGGAAAATGTTTTCCCACTCAAAGTGGAAGTCTTTTACACAATGAAGGTGAAAGATCAATCCTTGCATTGTGGACTAGCTTGGTTTCGCTTCCTCCACCTCCTCCTGTTGTTCTCCCAAACCCACAAGACTGAAGATTTGAAAGGTTCAAGATCACTCAAGCCCGGTTGGCAATGAAACATGAAGATGGAAAATCCGTGTGTGCTCACGTCCTAGGGATGAAATCACACATCGATAGGTTGATAATGTTGGGTGCAACTTTCCCAACGGAGTTGGCTGTAGACTGGGTCCTTAAGTCACTCCCTAAATCATATGATAAGTTCATAAGAGAGTATTATATGATGGATATTGACGCGACCCTCATTGACCTAACTTACATGCTAATTGCCGCTGAATCAGAAATGGTTTGGC